GTCCTGTGTGGCTGGAAGGTGCTGGGGCTGCAGCCGGTGCTTTTCTCTGCTTGTCCTAAGGTGCAAGGCCCCACAGTGAGCAGGATGGGCTGCGGTGGCACAGCTCCACGGGCTTGTGTGCTGCCCTGCTGGTACCCGGGGTGCGAGCAGACCTCATGGGTCGTGTGGTGGCTGCTCCTGGCTGATGCAGAGCACAGGGGGTGAGGTGAGGAGGCAGGCAAGTGGACTCCCCAAACCCTCCCCTGCTATGGGGCTGTTGGCTGTAGCCGCTCAGAGAACAGGGCTCTGCTTTTCTTCACTTTTGAAAGCTATTTCTGCAGCTGGTTTCACCTCACCAATGTGGCCAGTCCTGGATGCTCTCCCGCTGCCTCCCAAAGGCACAGGGCTTGGCCGCGCTGGGGACGGGCAGCTCCATCCCCAGCCCAGCGCTGGTGCAGTTTTACCACTAGGTTTTCATTCATGTGAGGTAGAGTGAGATGCTACAGGGTAAGGAATAGCAGTAAATACTTGGGAAATTCCACCCAGCTCAGCAGCTGCTGCTCCTGGGCAGGTACTGGGGCAACCCTTCACTGGGGTGCCAAGGCTGCAACAACAGCAAAAAAAGCCTAGTTGATAAATGTCAAAAAAACCCCCAGTAATCGGCTGAAAGCAATTTACTGAGCCATGTAACTGCCCTGGGCTCGCCATTTTCCTTTATTCATTTATCATGGTAAGCGCTTTGGCCAAAATACACAAAGCAGAGAAATTGTTGACATGTGGGGCCCTAGCAGAGCAAACCCTTCATCCTCCTCCCCCTCCCCACTGCACACAAACTAACATTTTGGGAGTTGTTTATTTAAGGACTGCAGAGCACTCAGTGCTCCTTGAACCTAAATGCCTTGGGAGCGGGGCTGGGGGGCTGGCCACCACCTACCCTCCTCTTGCCATCACCCGAGGCTGCAGGGCGGCCGTTTGCTGCTGTCGGGAAGTACCTGCCGGTAGTGAGGAGCTGAGCTGCATGACATGCTCAGGACCCTGTTCTCCTTCTACCTCCTCCACCCGCTAAAATGTGGTATTAGTGGCTCACGTGGGGGTTCTGTAACTGGTCAGGCCGGGCAGAAGCTGGTTTTGGAAAGTTCTGTGTTGGCTTTTGGTCTTCTTGGTCCTGGCTAAAACAGCCATGCTGACACCACTGGTTTCGGTTTTGTATCCATGAAGCCCAGGGAACCACGAAGCCTGACTCCCCTGCCCACACTGCACCTGTCGGTGTTGAGCTCCCCCATGCCTTCCCTGTGGCCAGGCTGCAGGTAACTCTGTGGCCACGGCAATGGGCAAGCGCTTCTTTTGGGATGTGTGAACCCAAGGGGACGCACCAGCCAGGAACTGGCTGTCCTAAGGTTGCTTCTCCACATCTCATTTTGACTTTCTTTCAAGCAAAAATAAATGCTGAGGTTCACAACAGGACAGTGCAATTTCCCTTGCTCATGGTCCTTGCTTCTGCCAGGCTGCGAGACGCTGGGATGCAAACGTGCTGGTGGGCAAGGCGAGCAGGGCAGTCGTTCCTCCTGTGCCCATGCTTCTGTGTGGGAGCCCTTCCAGCAGCCTCCAGTCCTCCTTCCTGCTGTTTTATTTTTAATCTTCCAAATTAAGCTCACCCAGTTCTGTGGCCACCTGAATGAAGAATAGTGAGGAGAGTCTCCCCCTCCCTCCAGTACAATCCAAGGTGGGGAACTGGAGCAGCCAAAGCACAGAGCTGCTCTGGAGGTCTGGCAGAGCCACCCCTGCCCATTGCCCGAGGCTGCTGACTTCGGGCAGGGATGGTCACTGGGGTCCAAGGCAGTCTGTTCATGCTCAAGGGGGGAGTCTGTCATCGGGATGGCACTTATCCGAGCAGCTCCTTGGTCTTTGCTGCCAGCAGCTTGTCCATCTCCGCTGTAGTGCTGTCTGCCATTTGCTGGATCTGTGGCAACATAGTACAAGTCTGAGTCATGTGCTAAGCGATGCCAGCGTTCAAAGGGAACGGAGTGACTGGATCACCTCCTGAAACAAAGCCTAAAGTCCTAATAAAACTCAAAATAGTGCCGGGGCAACAACTGGCTCTTTCTGGGGGCTCTCACCAGCCCTCAGTGATTCTGTGCCAGTGTTGCATCTGTATAGTGAGACCAGGGACTGGTGCGTCTTTTCAGAGCCTTGACAACACAAACTCTTGGCTGAGCTTCACAAGTGACTTGGTCAGGTCCTTATTTAACAGAGGAACTTCAGGGGAAGGCAGAGTTAGAGACTTGCTGGTGTTGGCACCAGAGAAGAGAGGGTTTATCTCATTACCTCCTGCAACCTTCCCACTATTAGAACAAACTAGGTAATAGCAGGAGCGCAGACTTAGTACGTGCTAAGAATTTGCACATCAAGTAACAGATCTGTATATTTCTTGTAAAAAGAAGTGGCCGTTGCTAATGCCCTGCCCAGGGATCAGGTCTCCTGGTAACATGGGAAGGACACGGTGAGCGTGTAAATGGGACCAAAATGTGTGTGCACTTATTTGAATGAGTGGAGAGCAAGGCTGGGGCACATTTGGGGGGGGGGGGGGGGGGTGCAGCTGATTGTGCACT